ATCCTATCGATAGCAAAAGCTTCATTAATACATTTCTAGATCAGTGTAACGGGCTCCACATGCAGGGTCTGTGCTAGAAAAAGGGGTTTCTTTAGCTGGGGTAGTTTATCCTGGAAGGAAATAGTGACTTTTTTGCTGCTGGGCATTTTGCCAATAGGCTATTGCAAAATGCACTCTTAATTGATATTTCTCTGCTTGCTGAGAGGCTCTGAGGACTAGTGTGAATAGTTCAAAATTCCATTCTGCATGCAGTTTAAGTGACTATGAATGTGTTTCTCTTGAGTGAGGAACTACTTATATTAATGAGAAAAACAGTTTTTATTTTTTCAAAACTGCATGAAAAACTGCAGGAGGCTGAAATTAAATACAGACATTGTTCATATTCCACATTCTTACCCGCAGCTTGAGTCTGTGTTTTTATCTATCTTTGCTCTGACAGCAAAGAAGATCTTGGAGGATCTCAGGAGGTCCCCTGTCACACCTCTGCCCAAGGCAGGGTCAGTGTAGAGGTCAGACCTGGTTGCTCTGGGCTTTACCCAGTTGGGTTTCCAAGGATGGACTGTGCTCAACATCTTGGGGCAACCTGTTCCACTGCTGCTCTGCCCTCACCTTTTCCTTTTCCCTCCAGTCTGAACTCTTCCATATCAACTTATGCCCACCATCTCTTGTCCTGCTGCCTTGCACAGCTGTGAAGAGCCCAGCTCCATCTTCTCAGTGACCTGCTCACTGAGGTAGGGGTGAGCGGCTTTGAGGTGCTCCCAAAACCGTTCCTTCTTCAGGTTGAAGCAGCCCCATCCATCAGGCTACCCTTGCAAGGTGGTTGCCCCAGCCCCTTGGCATCCTGGTGGCTCTCTGCTAGGCTCACTTTATTTTGACAATGTCTCTCTTTGGACATTGGACAGGTGGCAAAGCTGTGTGCAGTTCTTGTGATGTCTTCTCATGGGTGCCAAATGAAGGGGGATAATCATTTCTTTCTGGCTGTGCTCACCTTCTCACAGCTTATGGTGCTGTTGGTCTTAACTGCTGCCACAGCAGCTGCTGGGACACCTGGATAGACCATCAAGTCCACCAGGTCCCTTTCAGCAGGACTGCTCCCAGTGCAGTCAGTCCTCAGCTTGTACAACTGTGTGGGCTTCCTTCTTCCCAGGCAGCATTTTTGCATTTGTCCAGGCAGAATTTCACCTGTTTCCCATCAGGCCATTCCACCAGCCTGTCTAGGTCCTGCAGCTGGAAGACAGCCCTGCACTTGAGTGCATGGACTGGCCTCTCCATTTAGGTGTTATCTGCAGGCTTGATGAGAGCGCACATTACCTCCTCCAGGTCATTGATGTAGATATTAAACAGGAAAGGTACCAGAGATCCTGTGAGACGCCACTGTTACTGGCCTCCAGGCACAAGGACTATGGATCTGTATTTTTTTTGGTAATATAACATCTTTCTCCACTTAATTTCCACTGATCTTATTTGGATGGTATGGGAAAAATGGGGCACATAAGAGGAACAGGTTAGTATCGTGGAGTGAGATAGAGACTGGTTCACCTAAATGTTTGTTTACCCAACCACCCATTATATATTAACTTCAGAAAAAAAAAAAAGAAAAAAAAAGAAAAAAAAGAAGAAAAAAAAAAAGACTACTGGTGCTGTGTGGAACTTAACTGATAATCTCAGTATGGAGTAAATCAATCTCTTAAGCACACATTGTGTGTTCCGTGGAGCTTCCTGTTCATAGGATAGGTGCAAGTCAAATTTCTGTTCAGTAGGTAGGTTAGGGCCTCCTCTCCTTACTTCACTGTCTTCATGTTCTCTATGAATTCAAGATATAAGAGTAACTGAAATAAGAGAAGCATACTTTTAATCTAAACCTACATCATAAATGGAATTGCAGAAGAAGTTTTGTTACGGCACACTACCGCTTACCACAAAAAGGAAACCACACTAATAAGAGGCATATCCCAGCCATGATCAGACTTGTACCAAGAGCGGTACCAAAAGCACAGTGCTAGCTGTATGCAAAAATAAAAACAATGTTTAATAGCAGCTCTGCTCTCAGCCTCTGGATATGTGGAAAATTTTAGGTTGTGGGTTGTCTGGGTTACTTCCGTTAAAGCTACAGAGCAAAGCTCCCCCGAGTACTTTGCATTAAAGCAGAATAATTACATAGCCAACAAATATCTGTGGAAAGAGAATTTTCTTAAAAAACAAACAAACAAACAAACAAACAAAAAAACCTGACCTCCAAGGAATCAATATGAACATGCATGCAGGAGAGAAAGGCACAGGCAAAGTGAGAAAGGAAAATGAAGGAACACCCTGCTGCAGCATGCAGTCTCTTGCTCTCTCTTTCTGCTGTTTCTAAGGCACCTATCATGCCATTATCTACAGCTAATATAAACTGGAGACCTAGCAGACTCTGTAATGAATATATTGACTTTCTGGTACTCTGTGAAAAGAAAAGTGACGATGTAAGTATTTTGCTTGTTTTGTTTGTGAAGACGGGAGACGGAGGAGAGTAGAAGTGAAGGTTTTGCTTCAGCCAGTATAATCACAGCCCTTTTTGGAAGGCAAGGAATTTCACACCCGGTGTCCTAGCCCACTTTCAGTACTAAGCAGCCTATCCTGTGCCCTATCTGTGCATTAGCCAGAAGAATTGCTGCAAGTGAACAATGAAAAACATTAATTATTTTTAAGAGAAATAATTTCTAAATCACAAACATGCTGACGGTTATGCTCCTGAATACAGTGGGTGTCCAGAGACATCTTTATGTTCAGGGATGGCTATCTCAGCTTTGGTGAACAAAATGCATTTTGGAGCTAACTACACAACCCACTTCAATGTGCAGGGGCTCTAGGCATCTCACTCTGGGACCTGCTTACCTCGATTGCCCAAGACAGGTGTTCACCAAAGTGCTAAAGGGGATCTGATCTGTTGAGTCTGAGGTACTATCTCGTATCTTCTACCACCCTCTGTGTCTCTGAGATACTCTATGGTACCTAAAATAACCCAAAATGTCTACTGCAGGTGCCTGAATCCCATCATTATCCTTTTCAGTGCTTACTGAATGTTGTGAACCAGGCACATATGCAAAACTGGAATCCAGAGCCTGAGACCACTTCCTACATCTATGTGCCTACATTGGCTTCCATTTCCTTCTGCTAATAGCACAAGTTTAGGCATCCAATGAAGCTTCTGCCTAAAATACTCGTCTCTAAAGTGTCTCAAAAGTTTAAGCACATTAAACAAGATTGTCTTGGATTGTTTTCCTGTACTTAGCTTACTAAATTCTGGCATGTTAAAGTCCTGTCTGGTTTGCTTTTCAAAGGATTTTACATTTTATTGCTCAGAGCATGCACTCTTTGTCTGCCCACATTTTATGAGCATTTTCCTATAACTTTTGCTATATCTTCCACCCCTTCCACAAGTTCTTTTGTCAGATTTAGGTGGAAAGGAGAGAATTTTTAGCAGAGACTGTGTCTAATTGATCGGGATACTCAAATTCACTTTAAGCTAAACAGTAGCATTACCATGCAAAAAGCAACAGACAAGAATTTGACCAAGGTCACAGTGTATAAAGCAGGAAATTTAAATTTCCTGGGGTAGTTGAAGAATGAGAATGAAACCACAGAAAACATCGTTTGTTGTTTTCATAAGGCTGTTAGTTCCTGGAACAGTAGCACCCTTCAATTTAAAATGCAGCTTAAAGTCCATAATTGACAGCTCTTAAGTGTATGTGATGGCAAGGAATTCAAGTCGGTCTGATAGAGTATGCATTGTTGCCTTTTGGGCAGAACTGATAGGCTTACTATTAAGGATGACACGAACCTTTTTCTGAACAGCATGTGTTTTCTGTTTGTTTGTTTTTCTTTTTCACATCAAGTGACCATTCTGAGAAAAATCCAACATCAGTAGAGGAAAATCTTGTTGATATTATTCTGCTCAAGTATCATTTAAATGCTCTACAAATAATTGTCTTTGAAAACAGAATCTTGTTTGTATACACAAAGGTCATAATAATCAGTGAGATAGCACTTTGATTCTTCCAAAAGGCAACATTCATTCATGTGCTTCCCACCCCTATTCTGTAGTATGAACTTCACCATCTAATCAGATGTAAAACCTGGACCCATCGGTCTTCAGTTCTTGGGATCATCCCCAAAATCCTTCTTTTGCAGATGGAATTACACTTATTTCTTCAGAAATCTTATTTGCATCATAACTACCTTGCAATCAAAATGCAGATCTCTGGACTGCATATTTTTTTGCTTGAAAAATATCTCTGTCCTACTTCTTCAAGGTCCTCCCATGCACTTCCATTCAACTTGTAGGAAACAGCCTGGCTGCTCATCCACAGCATCTAATGTCCTTTAGCCCTCAACCACTGCCAGGGAGAAATTGTTGCATAAGATTATTTTAAACTTGTTTCATATTGCATGCTTGCACTTTGATGATTCTCAGCACAAATAACTGCACTGAAGGGCAGTGAGGGCAAGAATCAGCTGATAAAGGAATGACCTCAGGAATCATCCAGTTCAGATGTCCAGCCTTTCTGATTAATGGATCTGCATAACAATGTTTTCGTTTGGACAGAAGCCATGGGATGCATACTGTGTGCCTTGGAGAGGCCAAGGACCAGGAGTCATATGAACTACAATATTCTTATGGGACTACAGAGTTCCATCATGGGATGGGGCCAAGCTGAATATAAAGCAGGGTTCCAGGAAAATAGGTGATTTCAGTCGAAATAAGATCTGATGACTACTATTTTTCATAGATGGAGACTCAGATCCAGCCGTAGCTCCCATACCAGAGCAGACTATCTGCTCATCATGTTCTTGGAATGCTTCACATTTCATCACTTTGACACGATAACATTTGGATTGTTGTTGAGCCAAGTGCAGTTGAAACCTACAGGTGACCTACTCCTGATGTGCAAGATTAATTGTCCCTACCTAATTCTTCATACTTCCTTGACTGATTTTTCTAACAAGTCTCAGTGGTAAAGACCTCCCTACCTACCAAAGCCACCTATATCAGACCTCCACAAATTTATGATTAGAATGTTTTACCTCACACCTAACCCTTTTTCTTACTACAATTTAAATTCCTGAATTATTATATCCACAGTAGAAAGCGTGGGTATTATTTCCAAGCTCTTCTTTACACCCTCCCCCTTTCTTTCTTTTTTCATGAATTTGCAAGTTATAGATAATCTGATTACTTCACCTAATTCTTAAAATATACCAGGTTGTGGTCTATCTGGTCAGGCTGACTTGAGAACATTTTGTAACACCCTCTCATTCTCTTTTTACCCTGTTTTAGATTGAATTCTTAACCCTTTGTCACGAATGTTAATTATGCTAGTCATGTGAATGCAGCTCACATGCAAAAGAGGTTTTAAATACTCCAACCATCTTTGGATCATAAATTTATATGTCATCGCCTTACACCCTTTCCTCTGAGAGACAGGAAAAATAACCAGTGTTTTTCTTGCTGTTCCTCATTATTAACGCACCTTAACTTTTGAAGACTTTTGTAATTGTATATGGGTTTTGTGCCTGCTTTTCTGATTAGTTTTTATACACGTGCTGTTATTTTATATGCTTTAGAATTTGATCTGATTTCCACTTTACACATGCAACGTTGTGAGCTTGAGGTTAGTTAAAAGTTACCTGAATTTATTTCCCATTACTTTTCCCCTTTGATAGGAATAGCTTGTGCTTCCTGCCACAAGAACTGATTTACATTTTCCTTTCACTTTGTTACTGACTTGAGTGGATAGAAGTTTGCCTGCTTGAAGTCCATGGTTTTCTTGTTTTCCGTATTTTCCTTTCCGAGGACTGTGAACTCTGTAATTTCATAGGCACTGTCTCCAAGTTGCCTTTCATCGTCAAATTCTCAAACAATTACCCTTTACTGGTAAGAACCACATCTAGAAGAGCCTCTACTCTGTGTGTTTTTTCTACTGCACCAGAAATGGTGACCAGTGCTTTTCCATTTAGAGCTTGCTAATCAATCTCTGTCCTGATGTTTTCCATTCCTAACAGTTCTTTGGATAGCTAAACTCTCTGACTCTCTAGCCCCATGCATTGAATAATTTGCTATACAGTTCACAAAAAAAGGCTTCCACAGCAGACATTTTCAGATGAGGTGTTTGGACTAGCAATGTTAGCAGTCATGTTCTTCTGCTCTTTTACTGTTACACAGATCCTTTCTCGGAGTCTGACTTTTTCTCACCTCTGGAATTCAGGACCAGTGCAGAGCTGTATCCTTTAATAGTAAAGAGCCCTATTATGTGAGTTATCATGCTCATAAGCCTATGCTTTGCCAACAAGGTCTTTTTTTTTTTTTTTTTATTTTCCCCCTTGTGGTTGTGGCTTAGGTTTCCCTGGTCCTTGTATTACTTCCCACATTTCCTCATACTTTTTAACTTGGCTTGTCACAATCCTCCTACCTCCATGCATATTTTTTTTAAAGTATTTTAAAATCTGCTTTATGCAGTTGAGATGATCACATACATACAGAGTGATGGAGAAGAACACATACAGAATAACAGGTATATAAAATTAAATCTAGGCATGTTACTTTCTGTTCTTTCCTGATTTATTTTTTTTTTTAAAGGATTCATATATTTTTGATCAAATGAACAAAAATAATATAAAAAAACAAACAGGGTAATCAGCTTTAGAAATCCAACTTCTATGCCAGTTGCATGTTTCTCTTCTCTGTGGTGGTGATGTAGTCTTTTTTTTTTTTGCTTGTTTTGTTTTGTTTTTTTTATATCGTTATTGACTTGAGACCAACACGCTTTAGATATCAGCCCTCAAGTCATTTGCAAATACCATTTAAATGGCTTCAACACAGTTGCAGTGATGTTTACCTAGTGTGAGTTTTATTTATTTCTTTTGAAACGGAACAGCTCTAACACCTATACGAAGCACCAGCAGACATGTCCTTTCCAGTTCCCTTTAACAGCACTTGATAACATTCCATCGATCCTGACACTTGTAAACAGATGCTTAGATATCCAGCCAGCCGAAACCTCTGACACAGGCCACATCTAGAAATAGCTTGTACAGAAATAATCCCGTAAGTCAGTTGACACAGCCAAGAGGAGGGCCCTGTAGCACTGAGAGACTTGTGCTCCTTGCATATGCACTGCGTAGTAGAAATCCCACCTACTTCCACACCAGCGACCATGTTCATGACTCCATGTTTACTATTACACACTCACTACGCGACTTGTTTGCATGCACTTCCTTTCATAAGAAACTGTCACAGAACTGCTGTTTTCCATTTTCATAAATTTGTTTACTTTGATAAATCAGTTTTTCAGCTGTTACCCCCCCACACACCAGACGACGTGAGGAGGAGGCCAGCAGCTGTGTCTCTGTCCCACACCGAGGGCACAGGGTTAAAGTTCTGTTTGTCTCTGCCTTCCCTTGCAGATCAATCCATGCCTGGCTAAAGTGCCTGTACAGATGTGCCGCTGGAATATTTCATTTGGGTTCTTGAAGCTTAATTTAAAACATGAAAGAAGCCACTAATATTCCCAAAGGCAGAGAACTTCGCAGGAAGTTTGTAGTTCTGGAAGCCTATTACATGAGAAAGCGTAGCTTCTGTAATCTTCAGAACACAGACACAGTTTTGTACACCATACAGAAGAAATGGAAAGTCAGTACCAAGGTTTCATAGCTGCCTAAAGGACTGGGACCTCCAACTTCTCTCCATTTATCTGTTGTGGAGAAAGCACAAGTAGCATACAGCTGAGCAGGATGAGTTGGGGCAGGCAGGACAAGAATTACAACAGTAAGATTACTGTCTTCTCATATGTACATGTTTCAGTGGTTCCAACAAAATACTGTTGTAGCTGAAAATCTACTCACATGTTGGGACTGACTCATTTTTTCCCCCAGATGTGCCAATTTTAGTGAAGTTTATAGAGACAGCAAGAACAGAGATGGAAGGAAAGTTTTGAATAATTGTCAAAAAGTGAAACAGACACATTTCCCAACCCACAGAATGAGGTAAGTAGACTACATACACCCTGACAGATGGGTAACATGAGATGCAAGTATACAGCATTGACTCTCAACTGCTTAGTCCCATGGGAAAAGAGGGAAGGATGCAGTTAAGGTGCAGGGGTCAGTCCACTATTTCCAGCTACCGTGATATCCAAACATCTTGAATTTTTTCAAACTCCATATTAAGCAGCATGGGGTTGAGTTTTGGGGCATCAGAACTTGGGTTCTCTAGTAGTTACACATATTCTTCTCATTTCAACCTGAAGATGTTCATGGCCTGCAAAAGTCCACTTCTTGTGTATAAAAATTGTCCTTTACCTGAAATTACTGACCTTCTCCCTAGTGTTTCCCCCAGGCATATTAATAGTTAGCTTATTGCCTTTCTTCTCAGCTTTCACTTTGTTTTTCATCAAACTTCTTTAGTCCCCTCTCAGGGAAGAGGCTGCTGCAACAGCTGATTGTAGCAGGAGATTTCCCTGTTTGGGCTTTGAACTTCGTTTTTCTAATAATCCAGTTGCTGAGCTGACCAAACACTTTGAAACTTCTGAGAATTCTCTGAATTTCCAAGAATGTCATTCAAAATCTGTCCATGTGAACATCAGTTGTCATCTCAGTTTAGCTGCTCAGGTCCCAAGCCTAACACTATTTTTTTTTTTTATTTTTTTTTTTTGGTGGGGGAACCCCAGATGTTTTGCTCCCATATATTGGATTTGGTTGCTCTGGAATCACGAAACCCAAAATCCCAGCTGCAGAATGTCAGCCCTTGGCACGGTCAGTCTGCTGAACCTTGTGTGTACGGGGAAAGCACTTGCCCACTCAGGGAGGCTCTCAGCAATTCAGCTGAGTTCTGCTGAAGCATTGCGGAGATATCACATGTTCCAGGGTTCAGTGAATTGTTCCTTTTGTCCTCTTAATACTTCTAATCTCTGTACAAAATCCCTTATCTGATCCATCTTTCTGCCAATTTTGGTCCTTTAGAGCAGGCCACAGTCACTGCAATGCCAGATGGAGCTGGCAGTTGTTGGAAGAGAGGCCACACCACACAGCACGCAAAACAGGCCTTGGAGGCCCTAGCAGGAGGACAGGGGTGGATGCACCGTGATTCCCTGAGCAGCACTGACAAAGCTATGTGCAGTCATCAGTTTTATACTCCCTTTTTCATCTTGTTCTTGATCCCATCCTCTCTGCTTTAACAAAAATATTTTTACCATATTGCTGAACAAAACAGGGTGGAGTGATGAGTTCACTTACTGGGCCCTAAATCACCCACATCATTTAACACACTCCTTGGCATAGTTTTGGCCTGAGTCAATAAATCCAAAAAAACACCAGGGAGAAACACTTGCTAGAAACTGGTCCCAGCAGACAACATGGAGCTGACTAAGCCACCAGGGCTGGCTCCTTTCTCTTTCGCTGTCCTCCAGCACTATCCCAGCAGATGAATCCCCAGGTATGCAGCATAGTACATGCCTGGGGTATGCAACAAATGCCCTCACTTTCTTGCTATGAAAACACTGGTCTGGCAGACTGAAACTTGAGCCTTCACACAATTTTAACCACCACACAGAAAGAGTCATTATGCTATACAAATACTGGACGTGGGCCCAGAGGAAACCCATGAGCAAAAGCTATGTCATGTGGGCATTGCCCATCTGCGACCAGTTCTGTTTTACTTGGTTGTACAGATATAGCTACGGTCATCTGCCTCCTTGGGCTGTCTTTAATTAATTTCCATAATTTAAAACTCAGAGGGAAAACAAGTTTTTGCTTGTTCATTTGCTTTTTAATTACAATACTGTATCCAAACATCTACCAGTTTCCTGTCTCTGTAACCCAACCAAAAGCTTGCTTTGAGCCAGTGCACTCAGCATTTAAATGGTGCTTCGTGTAAAGTTCTGACAGTTCTCCCAGATGGTGTCCTCCAGCCACAACCCTCCTACCCCCACTCCAGACACAGATTTTGGAAATCACAGTTCAGAAGTACACACTTGGAATTAAAAATACTAGAGCAGCTGTCCTCATTGTCTTCAATTACCCCTTTCAGCTGCTGCATCCTATATCAAGCCTAGCTTTCTGGAAGTCTGCTCCATGTAAAAGGAAAGCATTAACATTTTTTTTTATATTAATATTATTTGCAAATCTTTGCCAGCATTCTCAGATCCCACCTCTCATTCCTTACTTTCAGCTGCACAGCTCTGCTCCACTTCAGCTTAATATTCTCAGAGAGGCTGAGGCTCCTTATGATAGTTCCCAGAACCCTCTTGTAATCAAACTATAAATTCCAAAGACTTGTTGGAGAAATGTCTCTTATCTGGTCACTGATCTGATTATTTGTCTCTGCACCCATGACTGCAATACCTTGTACTCCTCTTGCTGTTTTATCAGAAGCCAGTTAAGTTCTTCCCTATTGCATGGGAGGGGGGAGGGAGAGGAGTTATCTTCCTTTCCCATTTTTCAAGGATATATTTTTTTTGAATTTATTTATCTTTTCCTCAAACTTCTTAAAGATACATGATTGAAAGATTCATTTGAATAAGTATGTTAGAGAAGTGACAGTGAAGATATTAGAAACAAAGATTTAAGGCTATTTTGAATCGTTTTTTTCATTTATATCATTGAAATAAAACCTGTGAATTCTTAAAGCGAGGAGATAGGTAGTGCTCTGAACTGAGCTGTTTAATATATTTACTGCTTATATCTGACTAGCTTAAATAAGGGACACAGCACAGGGCCTGACCTTTCACATACTAATGAGATCTTTGCTAACCACAGCAACTGCAGGAAGAAACGCAACACCTGAATTCAAGCAGAAAGGTCACTGCATGAAGGTGTAATGCAGAGCACTGAGACACTTATTTAATGAGGTAGATAATTGCAGGGCTCATTGTTTGTCAATGTTTTCCCTTTCTACAGTCTACTGGGCTCTCTTCTGAGCACCAGCTCAAACACAGGACCCACTGTCTGATAATCAAAGCACGGCTGAGAGCTGTAGCTAACAACAGAATCACATAGCAGTGGGGCTAGAGGAAAAAGAAATAAAAACTTTTGTGCCAATTTCATTCATGTAATAGCTGTCAAATTTCCTCAGCAAACTTAGTCATGAAGTATCAAACAGAACAGCTAGGTTTACGAATATACAACAATATTGTATACAGTTGAGTTTAATCCCCATCTGTTCCCATGGAGTGGTAGTCATCACACTCCCTTTTACAGCAAAATGAAGACCATGATTGTTATTACAGAAGTAGAAGTTGATGCTACTGGGAATATTTATCATTACAATAAACTATAAGTAAATAAATATTGCTGTTAAACGGTGCTTTGATTAATAGCAAAATGAGCTAATGAGTGCTGTTAGTTACAGTTTCACTGTTTGTTTCCTCTTGCTGTTTTATTCATAGACCTTGTGTTTTTGCTAAAAAGGGAATGATAAACAGCTGCAGAGTGTCCTGGGTCACAAACTGAAATGGCCTCTTTCAAGGCATGTGAAGCTGATAAAACTGCAGAACCAAGTCTAAATCAAAATCCAGTGTTGGCAGGCTAAGTCTGAAGTATATTCACATGCTCATTTTTGACCTAATTACATTTGATTACAACAGATGAGAATGATTTGGTTCTTACTGATAGCAGTAGAGCAGATGTACTGAATCACTTAGTCCTTTCTCCTGCTATAACCTCGATCATCTTCATGTTGCTCAGAGAAGAGGGTCAATTTGCCTGCGAATAAGGATGATCACTTTTCCTCCCTATATAATTCCTAGACTCTTAGCAGCACTCAAAAGTGTTCCACTCATCCTTTAAGTGTTATATCACTACACTCCAAAGTAGAAGTTTGGTGTGATCATTATATTTCTTCACACATTTAATATTAAGTTCTCATTTGTCTTCTCTACAGAAGTCTTGGTTTCTTCTGCCTCCAAATGCTGCCAGCTCAGGTCATGGTTACCACCTCCACCAGATAACTTAGGTATCTGCAAATATCATGGAAGTCCTTCTGGACATCAGGATTTAAAGTTTCCTTTCTTATATGTTGATTTCTCTCTTCCTGCTTTTCAACTCCTAATGTGTCCAACTGTTTTTCTCTTCATCCCTAAATTGTCTCTCATATTTCCTTATTAAAAAAGATTTCCTCCAAGTTCCCATAACCTAGCATAACAGCACATTTTTTAATGCCTTAAACTATTCAGAGAGATGTTTTATTTATTTGTGCAAATGTTAGCTATTTATTTAAGAGTGTTCTGGGCATTTGTAGGCAGCCAAGAGAGCAGAGCAGCTTACTTTCTTCTATTACCATGGAGTTTTCATTATCTGTTTTTAAACTACACTAGCATCCTTCTGAAGGATAAAGCTCCCCTCTTCTGCTTCAAAGACAGAACCCAAGAATTTTTTATTGAAAATGTAATGTAGCTCAGAAGAACATAAGTGAAATGTTGCTCTAACCATGAGAGTAATCATTCTTTTCCCTGCTCTATTTTGTAAGCAACAGGAATTGACCCTACCGGTAGGTCAAAGCAAACTGAGGTCTTATAACTGGTTAAACAAGGAGTTCAGAGCAGTTACACACCTGTAAGTTTTGGAAGCAGGGAGTAGCAGGACTTGCTAAAGTTATGCCATGACCTGAGAATTCTGAGTGTGGGGACAAAGGGGATGTTGGTCCTCTCCTGATAATCTGTGCTATTCCATAACATTCTGTTTATTTCACAATAAGCTA